CGAGCAGTGGCCATTTGAAAAAATAGTTTTTAAGGATTTTTAATGAGGTTGACTAATTTTCTTAAAAATTATTTCATTTTTCCAAAACTGGACCGTATCTTGGACCCAAAAAAAGAAAAATTTTTAGTGCTCACAACCTGACTTGCATGATTTCAAATCAGAAAATTGAACAATCATGTTAATCTAACTCTCATATTGGTCAAAATTTGTTTTAGTAGAAAGCCAAAAACAAAAAAGGGTCAAAATGATGAATTAGGGGCACAGTTGAGTCAGGTTTTCTGTCTTTTTCCCGTTGTCAACATACTTGCCGGAAAAGGCACCATACTTGCCAGAAAGGGCACCATACTTGTCGGAAAAGCACAACTGAAGCTAACAACAAATGGCCGAAAGTTCTCTCATCCTCCGAGCAGCGAGGAATCAAGCCGAGTGCGAAGCACGAATTGAAAATGGAGTGGCATGTTCGATTCCCTCATCTGGATGATCACACCCAAATTGGCGTCTGACCCGGAATGGGGACGTAGAAGATGCAATGTGTCAGACCAATCAATTATACACCTGGCTGATGAGATGATCAAGCTAAGCCAGGGGCATCATCAACCGATGTCAGTTACAGATCTGTTACGCATCTGGTCACACCGCAACCCCTCTGTGGGAAAGCTCACTGTTGTGAACGGAAGAAGGAGAATCTAGTAGCATACTAAGGGTAAGAGCCCACAACTTCCTGTTTATCCATCAACCACTAAAGGGAGGGATGAAAAAGAAGAGAGATTAAAGAATAGAGAGATGTACGTTGAGAGAAAAAGTAAGAAAATGGCTTTTTCAGAAAACAAGAGATTGAGTGCCAGAGTGATGTGAGAATCACAAATAAGAAAGGGTGGGAAACAATACCGGGGAAACAGGCTCCTCGTGAATCGAGAGGTCTCCCACTGATGGATGGCAGAATGTCTGAGTGTTGTGTGTGTGTTTTTATTTGTCTCGATTCTTGTTTTGAGTCGTTTCGAGTGTCAATGTGTTTAGGTTGTTTACCTTTGCCTTTCCTTTTGTTGAGTCGTTTTGACTATGGTCAGTCGTAGGTTCAATACCCAGTTGGGAACTCGTTTCTCAATTTCAATTTCAAAATAAATTGTTTTATGCTCAGAGTGCTGTACCGTTCTCTACATATGTGCAAAACAGGATTCTTTCTTTCATAAGACTGCAGGGTTCGACCCAAGTCATGTGAGAACAATAGAACCAGGACCTATCTGAAGCTACATAGGTTCCGGACTGCAAAGCAAAAGAAAAGAGGGAAAATTTGGAGCATCTTAGTGTGTTTCAACTTCAGGAAGTTCCATGATTACACTCTGGATGTACCTCCTCAAGCCTTGTCAATGCTTCGAAGTATGAGTGTGCCTCTACCTCAAACTCAAGATCAAGCCTGCTTCAAGCTAGAATGGCGTTCAGAAGTGCTCTCCCTGAGTACCATTCACTGCCAAAGGCATCTTGGCTGTGTTTGCAATGAGTTCCTAGGAGACCAACTGCAACGGTGGAAACTAGAGTTCGAATGGCCGATGCCTAGAATACAAAGGTTCGGAATTTCCGTGACTAAAGTCTGGTTTAAATACCCAGGAGTGTATCCCCGGCTTGAAATCTGTATGGAAGCCCCATAGGTTGAGGTAGCGAGTATGCGTCTCAATTCTGGATATTGAACTAACCTAGTCTGTCACCCCGTTGGAGAATAGGAAAGTTGTGAATGTGATCAGGAAGAAAAGTGGCATCCGTGGCTTCTACACACAGAGGTTACCCCTTGTCAGTACTTCAGGACCTTTGAACTGCGTGTTGAAGGTAAGAGTTCGAAGAACACGAAGGGGAGATCCCCATTAGAGTACAGCGGTTCATCGCTACTCACCCCATGAGGTGCTTTTTAAAGCACCGCTTTGTTTGTTTATTGCATTCCCTAAACATCATACATTGCTTGTAACATGTATCGTACCATCGCACTTATTTCATTTATTTGCATCTTGTGCTATCTTGTATCATTTATCCTTTCACGCTGTGCAGCGTTTAGGATCGTTGTCCTCCGAGGCTATCTCAGGTTACGCTGAGTGCACTCCTGATTGATTGTTTTTGTTCCTCTTCTCATGATTTCAGCGTGGTTAGAGTGTGCCCTTCCTCACACGATTTCAGCGTGTTTGGAATTTGTTTTCCTCTTCTCACGATTTCAACATGGTTAGAGTGTTCATTTCCTTACACGATTTCAGCGTGTTTGGAATTTATCTCAGGTTGTGTGGAACGCGCTCCTGATTGTTGTTTTTGGACCTCTTCTCATGAGTTTAGCGTGGTTAGAGTGTTCTTTTCCTCACACGATTTCAGCATGTTTGGAATTTATCTCAGGTTGCGTCGAGCACGCTCCTGATTGGTTTGTTTTCAGACCTCTTCTCATGATTTCAGCTTGGTTAGAGTGTTCCTTTCCTTATACGATTTCAGCGTGTTTGGAATTTATCTCAAGTTGCGTGGAACGCGCTCCTGATTGTTGTTTTTAGACCTCTTCTCACGAGTTCAGCGTGGTTAGAGTGTTCTTTTCCTCACACGATTTCAGCTTGTTTAGAATTTATCTCAGGTTGCGTCAAGCACGCTCTTGATTGGTTTATTTTCAGACTTCTTCTCATAATTTCAGCTTGGTTAGAGTGTTCCTTTCCTCACACGATTTCAGCGTGCTTGGAATTTATCTCAGGCTGCGTGGAACACGCTCCTGATTGTTATTTTCAGACCTCTTCTCACGAGTTCAGCGTGGTTAGAGTGTTCTTTTCCTCACACGATTTCAGCGTGTTTGGAATTTATCTTAGGTTGCGTCGAGCACGCTCCTGATTGGTTTGTTTTCAAACCTCTTCTCACGATTTCAGCGTGGTTAGAGTGTTCCTTTCCTCACATGATTTCATTGTGTTTGGAATTTATCTCAGGTTGCGTGGAACACACCTGAGTGGTTATTCTCAGACCTCCTCTCACGATTTCAACACGGTTGGAGTATGTCACCCTATTCATTTACTACATCATCTAGTACGTCTACTACATTGCATATAAAATATATTGTATGCATCTACTACATCATATCCATTTTATCATCTGTATCATTTCCATGTTAAGCTTAGTCTAGCATGTGCTCATACATTTCCTTCGTTGAAGCATGGTTCTGTGATAATGTGTACGCGCCTATTCCACTAAGAGAATTGTGGTCTGAGGGCGTCGGCACCTTTTCTGTGTTAGACGTGGTCTGTTTTGTGTCTATGCCTTTTCTAGGCAAAATGTGGTTCGGCCACACGCCTTAATCATTGCATCCATTGCATCCATTGTATTGTGCCTTGTTTTGTTGCATTCAACATTTAGGATCATGATCTTTTCTCAGCAGATCATTCCTCGTTCATATCATGCCACCCAATTACTTGTATTCTTTCTATGAAACACATAGTTCTGCATGTGCACACCCCTATCCCACTAGGAGAATTGTGGTTTGAGGTTTCCGGCACCTTTTCTATGTTAAACGTAGTTTAATGTTGCATCTCCATCCCTTTATGATATTTGTGTGGTTTTGCACTGCTTGTGGTTTGATAATTCAATTACATTGCATATCATTTGCATTGTTTCGTTACATTGTATATCATTTACATTGTTTTGTTTTGTTATATTGTGTATCATTTTGTGTCCTGCCTCTGAACTACGCTGGTTTGATTCCTTGCAAAGAGATACGTAGGCAGCCTGCGAACGTAACCATTTATTTATCTGTATTTTGTTTGTTTGTCCAAGTCTTCGGCCTTGTTAAAAATGGGTCATCTCTGGGCTTTGACATTCACTCACGTCATTTCATGACTCTGAGCTCTGTCAAAAAGGGGCAACTGTAGACACCCTATTTTTGACTGCCCTGAAGACTCGAGCGCCACTGATGGATTATTTGGTGATGAAAGTTGTACAATGCAAAGGTTCGATTTCTTTGACAAGGAGAGCGTCAAATCCTAACCTTACACCTCGTTTTTGGACCAAAGCTATTTTGAATGGTTTTTCGACCTTAAAACCCTCTCTTCCAAAATATTTTTGAAATAAAGTTCCTATGATGTTCCGAGGCTCGCATTTCATTAAATGTTGCGCTTTTCGATAAACCGAGCAAGGACAAAGTGGAAATGAATGAAAGAGAGGTGAAATCTTTGAAAAATCTTTCAAAACACCTTGTTTAGGGGTTTGGGGTTGAAGAAGAGAGGAGAGGAGAGAAGAAAACTAGTTTGGGAGAAGTTCGGCATGAATCCGAGAAGGATCGAAACTAAGCGACTTCACCAAATAGGAATAACTTTTTGCACAGTTGGAATTTGATGTGAGGCTTCTACCATTGGAAATCTTACTTCCGGGGCTTCAATTTGGGCACAAGAATGACCTGAAAAGGAGCTCAGATGAAGGAGATATGCCCCTTTGAAGTTTGACCTGCAGAGCAGATTTTTGCTGTCGGCCACAAATATAGCCTGTCGGCCAGTACAAGTGGCCGGTCAGCCACTATGGTCCCAAACTCAGATATTTGAAGATCTTTCCCTTCCAGCTGTTCCAGACTGTCCTAGATATTTCTAAATTGAGATATTTCGACCAATGCTCATATATTGCCATATATTGAGCCATATCTCTAATTTTGCAAGGGTTGGAAATTATGGGAGCTTCTCACACTAAAAATCCTCTCTCTCTAGAAATTTTGGAGCTGAAAACTCTCTCTCTCCCTAAAAACTCCTCTTTCTTCTTGTTTTGAGCCTTAAGCTTAGAATCCTCTACACTTTTGCAAAGAGACCCTTAACCAAACTTGACCACCATTGGGCTAAGATTCTTTAGGACTTTGTTTGAGCTCCAAAAGGTGATTTGAGCTCAGATTTGTGCCTGTTTTGTAGCTGTGCATCAAGGGTAAGAACTCTCTCCCTTTTAGCTTATTTTGCATGCTTGCTTGGCCATCTTTTCACACTACTTTGAATTTTATGCTAGCCTAGCCATGAGTGATTTTTTTTACATGTTCTCATATTGATAGTAGTTCACTTTCAGCTTCAAGTGGAAACTCCATGGTACAGGGCACCCGAACTCATGCTTGGTGAGCTGAATTACTCCTCACCAGTTGATGTGTGGTCTGTGGGTTGTCTATTTGCTGAGATGGTGACTCAACAGCCTCTGTTTGCTACTACGTCACAGGTTGAACAACTGCGGAGAATTTTCAGGTGCTATCTAGTTTTCACAAGACACACTGATGATTATTCTTGGCATTTTAATTTTTAACTTAGTAGTGGTGTAATAATCCTAATTACATAGTCTTTTGAATATGAAGCATTATGGGCAAGCCAACTGAAGAAACCTGGCCTGGAGTGACTTCATTATGTCCATATCTAGAAAATTTTGCCGTGAATGAACCCAAGGTAGTACAGGGCATTCATAGTTCAGTTTTTATTTGTCCCGGTCTTTAATTTTGAATATGAACTATGTTTTTTCCTCTGCGATGCAGAACCTGGCTGATGAAGTGCCTGGTCTTGAACCAGATGGAGTTGATCTTCTTTCTGTATGCCCCTCTCTCTCTCTCTCTCTCTTTCTCTCTCTAGTATTCTTTGGAGACTGATGACAATAATATTTCATCCAATGTTGGCCCTGTCCGATGCAGCTTTTGGGGCTCCGCTTACAGCTTATTTATATTTTTTGAAAAATCTGTGTCAGACTGTGCAGCTTCTGCTTACAACTCAAAGCCCGAAATAGTCTAAAAAATAGAAAAAATTTACTATTATTGATTACGAGTAAGTTGCACTGAACAGGTCCGTCATTTCATATGGGAGCAAGTTAATATTGTACAAATTAAATTGTCCTGTAGAATATATTGATTATTGATTAAATGATGAAAAGAAAATGAAAAATCCACATCTTTCAAGTACACCACTAGATCTTTATTTTATTTTATTTTTTTGGTTTGGATTGCTAACACCCGGGTTTGTCATGTATTCAGGAAATGCTGTGCTTGAATCCAGGAGATAGAATTACTGCTTCTGAGGCTCTAACTCACCCATACTTAACAATATATGATTCTGGATCATCATCACCATCACCACCACCACCACCACCACCATTATCGTCATTACTGCCATCATCATCATCATGATTCTGTGTCATATTGACAATGTGCAGTGTTTTTGTGTGTTTTACTTTGAGAAAGAATGTATATGCTTTCATTCATTCTGTACATTACTTTCTCTCTCTCTCTCCCTCTCCCCTCTTTCTAGATCTGCCTCTGAAGAATACTTTTTCTGCACTTTTACTTGTAGATCAGCATTACTTTGTCTGCAATATATCTTTTAATGGGCTCTTTTGCTTCTGTTCTCTTCAATTGGAAAGAAATAAACAGTTTGATATTGTTGGTTGATTTAGACCCAACGACCTGATAATGCTCCGTTTGTTTTGGTAAATACTTATTTGGATTTTTTATTTCCTCCCCCCCTTCCATTTGAGCTAGGTTTACCTGTCTTCGATAACAAAAAAGTTACAACGGGAAGCCCATGAATTGAATTAATAATGTAAAGTTGTCGCTTCCTAAAAACTTTTTTAATTGGCTTTTTGAAATTCAGAGTAAAAAATTTGTTTGAGTTGATTTTTTTTATTTTTTTTATTTTTGTGGGAGAAAAAAGTTACATAAACGATTATAGTTTGAATGTAACATTTTGTCTTATTGATTTATTTAGTCTATTTTGTCTTTTGCATTTTTTTAGCCCCAACTAGATAGCCAAACGAAGCCAAAGATAGATATAGTGGTTGTTTGGGATGTGCTATATAAGTGTATTTTTTGATGTTTTAGTTAAAAAAGTAGAGAAAAAAATATGTATGTTTAGGATAACTTTTTGAATTTTTACGAAAAGATATGTAATAAAATATTGTAATAAAATCAAAATGACCATTTCACCCTTTTGACTTTTGACTTTTTGGATAGTTGAATTCAAAAGGCAAAATAATAATTTTGCCCTACTGGTTTCCCCCACAAGCTACCCTTGAATAGTATAGGATTTTCAATTTTTTTAGCAACTTTTTAACTTTTTGTCTTTTATTAATTTATCCCAAACAACCCATAGTCTTTGGAAATGTGTAAGTTAAACCAAACCAATTTGTAAGTGCTATTAAATGAGATCGATTATATGAATCTTCTTTGAAAATGTGTATAAGTATAAATTGATTATTTGTGATAACCACGTGTAAATGTTTTTTATTTATTTATTTCTTTCTAATGGATGTTAACAATTTTGGTGATATTAAAATTTGATTTTAAATATAAAAGTTAATTCTTACAATTAAAAATAGAAAAATTAAATAAAAGTTGATATAAAGTATAAGAGTGTAAAATATAAGAGTAAATAATATTTTACCTTTAGAGTCAATAAACGACAGTCTATAAATTTATATTTATTTACTTTTTTAAAAGTCTATGCTCTAAAACATTATGGATCAATTTGAGAACATGACTTTTAATTTATTTTAGATAATATCACCTCTTTATTTTTTTACATATTTTTTCAAAAAAAATTAAAAAGTCAATTTTTAACCAACTTTCCAAAACAAGACACGGCTATAAGGCCAAACTCTAGTAAAATGACCAAAATATCCCCCATCAAACCCCTTCTTATCTCTGTTTCTCACTCTTAATCCTCCACAACTCAAATTTCTTCCTCTATCTCTCTCTATCTCTCATCTGCCGCCTCCGACAGCAATGCCTTCACTGCTGCGCTACCTCCTACGGGGCTGAAGACGCGATGTTGAAAATGTACCTGTCTTCACCATCTTTGTACCTTTCTCTGGCGACGAAGACGACGCCAATGATCTGAGATGTGAGGGCTCCAGAATTTGATTCAACAGATCTTGAATCTGGTGGATCTCCTCTCTCTCTCTTAGATCTATCTCACATTCACCACCTCTTGCTGGTAATCAACCTCTCTCTCCCTTTCCCTCTCTCTCTCTCTATATATATTTATATATATGATGAAACATGAGGGTTTGGAACACAAGGAATGATCAAAATCATCATTTCCTTGAACAATAATTTGATTAAGATTTGAATTTGATGGATTTGGATAACAATATACTCCTCTTAACTAGTAGAGTATGACTGCTAATTCTTGCACTCTGCAAGTATCCAACTAATTTCAATAGTATCCTAACTTGTGAGACCCTCTGATTATAGTTCTTTCACATTTCAGTCAAGAAAGATATTCAATTTTACCAAATCTCCTTTCTTTTATTATAAAAGAAAAAAGAAAAAAGAAAAACATATTGTATAAAAAGAGCATCAAAAGGGATGTTGCTTTAGAAATCAAGTTTTCCATTGCTTTTTTTACTCCAAAAATCTCAGCAATTTAAACAGATAAAAAATTGAACAAATAGTTTTAAACAGATAAGTGAAAAAATTGAATAGATAATAAAATTTGGACAGATATTTGAACAAATAAGAAGAAAAGTGGAGAGAATGATCTAGAAAATCACTTTTTAAGTTGCTGAATTCGCGCAGTCCGCTTGAGTGCCACTTTCTGTGCTCGAGCGCACTTGCTTCCAACACAGATACTAAAACTTCAAACAAGCATAATTCTCTCATCCGGACTCCATTTCAGGTCGTTCTTAGGTCCAAATCGAAGCCCCAGAAACAAGCTTTCAAATGGCTCTAGCCTCACAATTAAATTCAAAGTGTGGAAAAAGAAAAGGGCAAAAGAGTGATTGTTATGCATTGAAAAATTATCCGAATCAAAGTTTTTGGTCTAATCTTACTTTGCCATCGTGTTACCACTTCGACCAATGTCCCAAAATAAAACCAGAAGGCTCCAAATACAATAATAAAAATATCAAGAGCAATCCCACTAGTCCTAGAAATTTAGACTCAACCAGGCAGAACGCTCGAGCGTCCAATCTAGCGCTCGAGCGAATGGACTAACAAAGCCGATCACTTGAGCGACTATTCCTGCGCTCGAGCATAAATTCACAACTCGTAGAATCTTGGATAGACTACAAAAGTATTGGAAGCCTCATAAGACTGCTCGAGCGGAGGGAAAAATTCTGAGGTGTTACAATCTACCCACCTTAAGAAATTTTGTCCCCGAAATCTAGAGAAACCGAAACAATAGACAACCCGAGACAGATGGAGCACAACTCTTAACTTAACACTCTTGGGATGTGTTCCCAAATTTAAAATAAGAAGCGAAATGAAAGCTACTAAAATCCAATGGCAAGATATCACTACCAACCAAAAGCTAGGCTCCACTCAAGACAAATTCTCAAATTTCGGTTCAATACCTCAATGCCCCAAAGACACCTGAACAAGAAGAATCACGAGGGAAAGATCACAAATACCTTTCGATCAACACATACATCGGAATCCAACGGGCAAGGAGCAACGTCAACCACTTATAATCCTGAGGTCCATAATAACTTCCCAACCAACAGCAACACGGACAATGACTATAGAATGGCCAAAACTCAATTTCATAGGAAAAGGAAACCATTATTAAACCAAACACCAGGTCAACACAAGCAAAAACAAATGGCGTCACATTGTACGGTCCAATACCACAATTGTCAATTGCATTTCAATTAGCGACATTATTAATTCTTTATTCAACTTAGCATATAAAAGTAGAACCATGAAAATCATTCATTAACATACTCAGATTAAGTTTTTAACATTTAGCTCAACCGAGCCTTCCCAGGCCATACACAAGAAAAGGAAATTTTCATTTTCCATATCAATCTTAACATTCTCCCAACGTATTCCAATCATCACCAAATAACCTCCGCCACCCATCCGATGACATCACAACACAATTTCTATACACTCTTGTGTTAACAACGAATAGAAACAATTACAGTGCATCCAAAAGGTAATATAGCACATGCGGGCTTCTCACAAGTTGGAAGTCTCCTTATCATTACGAATATCAGCACTAACAATCGATATATAAATCGGCACAAGTGTACATACAACAATTTACATTCAAACATTTTAAACTCAATTAGAGTGGTTTCACAACTTCACATCAACAACATACATATATACATACAAGTAAGACCCAATGTCTTCCAATATTACCTGAGGTACTACCCAACCATATCTCTATTTATCCTAAACAAAGCAAATCCTAAGGTAATTAGGTATCAATTAGCTTCAAATAGTATTTACAAAAACCATCGATAGCAGGTCAAATCCAAAACAGACTAACCCAGGCCAATCCTCAAGTCTCACCAAAAAAGGGCGGCTACAAGAATCCATCTTCTCTACCCAACTTAGCCCAAATCATCAATTTTCCACTCTCATGATTCAACTGTCAACACACACATCATTTCACATCTCACAATTCATAATCATCATAATCCTCTTCGCCACTTGTCATTCACACAAGGTACAAAACACGGACAAGGCCACGAAATTTACAATGTTTCACCCCCAACCCGGGGAGTTCCCATCAATTCGAGGTAAGCGTCACCCAAACTTTACCGCGACCTATAGAAGACCCAATACTCACTATACCATTTCCAATTCATTTTCAAACCATTCCAAAGGAACTATTTGTCATCCAATCCTTAATACCAAACAATCAGTTAATTACTCCACAAAACTTAAATTTTGGCACTCAAACATCCACACTACACCCATTACGTGAAAACACAACCCATGCGTCCTCCCTATACCATTCTAGCATCTCTTCATACTCATGGGCCCTATACTCAAATACCGCAACTTCTTTACACCCATAACTACTAGCTTACGGCCACCATTATACCAGCACCACTCTCATCATTATGAAACACATTTCTTACACTCCTTTTTCCAAACCTTTCACAATACTCTATGTAACTCAAACTAATCTCATACCATTCTAAGATCTCATCTCAACTATACTCATTGTAAACCATACAACTCTCACATTCCACGTTCCACAAACACTTTTATTCAATTTAAGGCTCATAAGTCAATACACATTTCCACCACTACCTAACGTCTCCCTCACTACAATTTAATACCTCCTTTATGATTCTTATTATCTCAATAACAACATCGGACATCAATAAGCCGAACTCTAACCCTTTACTGAGACACTCACACTACCTACTAAGACACAAACCAGCTTAACATATAATCACACGACACATAATCAATTTTAAGCAACAACTACATAGCCAAGTCTACAAGGATGACAACTTGTCCCGGAACTTCCAAGAAACTCTCACCAGAAACCACGTTGATCAGACCCGTTTCCAATGAGATCTCAAAGCTAACCGGCTACAAGCACTATCCTTGAAACTTAACTCATGCTTACACCATGCAACATATAATGTCCTATACCTCCTACTTCTATATGCAAACATACTCACCAAGCGAAGCCAACACGTT